TTACTCAATAAACTTACTTATTTCCCAAAGGATGCCTTTCCATGAAAATAAAACCAAATATTGACTTTAATCTTAACTCTAGTCCAACCCTTAACTTAGACAACACAGTTAAAGCGAACCTAAACCTTAACCCTTAACGTAATCGTGACCCTAACCCCATCCTCTGCGGAGTCAAGCTTCATTTACAAATGTCACCCAACTCGTCTCCTTTTTGCGACCCTGATGGTCTCCCTTCGAGATCTCTGTTTATGCTCGTTGCGAGTTCTTATGTTTTCGCCAGCTTGTCGGTGGACACTGCAGTCTGCTTGATCGCATCTTCGACATATCAATGATGTCCTCATGACATCTACTGTCCCCTCTTCGGTTCGACCCCATTGTCCCCGCCGACCCTGTTTTCCGCGATTAGCTCTTCCTGTCGCGCCCCATTATGCTATATAATATCTTTAATTACTGAGAACGTTCCAAATCCTCACATGTTCTTATCAACATCATGATTTCATCTCGCTGCAACACATCAATCTAATTACATATTAATAACAGAAGCAGTTTTTTCTCCTACATTGCTTTGAAATCAGGGGTTAGCTGAACTCTGCCTCTGATTTGCCTTAGAGGAGTTTTCTTCACTGCTTCTTTTCTCAGTTCACCATATTTACCAAACATTGTTGACTATTTTTTTTGAATGACTGCCCATAGTAAGTCGGATGTGACTTAATATGTATAACATACTACTCATTTCTGTTGTCTACACAGTTGCTCACACACAGCTGTGATTACCAACTTTGCATTTATTCTTGCCACAGCACTAAATTTGTAATGATGGGCAGCCCTGGGCACCATATATGCAATTATTATCTCTGATCGTAAAACCAACATAAAAAGAACGCCTTATTTTACCATTCACCTCAATCCTAAGCACAATTTCCTCGGAATTTGGCATAACGCTGCATACATTGTGGGCGGTTTCTGTTCCCGTGTCCTGTGTTCCCGTGTGACATATTAGATAGGGTTCGTCTTCGTCTCAAGTATTATTATTATTCTAAACTTAAATAGGTCGCGTGAGCTCGTAAAGCCACCTTTCTCCGTTGCTCACTTATGTCAAACAGGCCCCCGTTTACGACCAGTTTTTACAAACAGTAATTAACCCAAGGAAAAGCTGGAGTTTCAGCAAAAACGAAACACTTCTATTCAAATGCCACCAGATCTGCAAGGAACCCGGCAAATATCTTGCGCACTCACTTTTCTGCTTCTACACATTGCCAGTGACGTTTGCAATTTTCTCCCTTAGTGCCAAATACAAACCAACTTGGTGTTCAGCAAGTCAAGTTTGGTGGACGTATGTTTCCGATTAATCATCATCGGGCAGAGGCTAGAGAGGCAAAAGTTCCAACGTCCAATAAACGGCAAGTACGGGGAACTGGTTGAGGGTGTTCAGGAGTGGGAGGGGAGAGGGGTGGGGGGAGAGAAGGAGGGGGAAATTGTCCGACAATTAGTTCATGTCGCTGCGTTGTTGCTGTAACGAGACGTAGTAGAAGGCGTGAAGACGCATGCCTTAGTGCTCTTCTGCGTGCAGGTTAGCTAGCCTTATGGCGACTGCCTTTGTCGTTGCAAGTCTCCGCTGACGGCGTAAGTGCCGACGGCTGAACATGGAGACTTATTTCTCTCATTGCCTTTTAGAGGGGCTCCAGCGAGCAAACTTCCGCATCTTGGCTTAAATGCTGTTATCACGCGAAAGTGATAAGGTCAGACTATTGTTCTCAGCTACACTACTTTTTCGCCTTTAAGGCAAGGATAGACTCCCGTTTCAGACCACCTCAATATGCATTTGCATCTTCACTTGCTCCTGTGGGGCAGATTATATCAGCTGAATAACTAGGTGCCTATCCGAGTAGATGCGAGAACACCACACTGCCTAGCTAAACCGAAGCGTGGTTAATTCCTCACGTAGTTCACTTTTAGCTTACTTGGTTGACACTGGGTAGACGTCAACCAAGCGTTTCCAATCATATCTAAAGTGCCGACGAAACATTCTAAGTTCCTCCTTCAGCGGATATTAGCGACGGCAGAGGCAGTCGCCATACGGCTAGCTAATCCGATATGTGCGCGCAGAAGATGCTAAGGCTGCCTTTGCCGAAGACTAACTCAACATGCGTCTTCAAACCTCCTACCACGTCCCGTTACTGCAATGACGCGGCGAGATTAACTAACCGTCGGGCACTTTCCTGCCTCTCCCCTCTGTCGCCTTGATCGCTGAGCTCCCTCAAACTTCTCCTCCTTTGTTGGAGGTTTAAATGTTTGTCACTATATTATCCCTTATATTATTGTAATTGCTTGATGGTGATCAATCGAAAACGTACGTTCGCCATACTCGACTTTTTGCATGCTCACCTCGGTATCCTCGCTGAACTTAAGCAATAACTACGTGTTGTCAGTGTTCCCGCTTCGTCCCGTTAACCCTTAATTTCGAGCAGGTTTTCACAGAAGCGTATTGTTTAACTCTTAATTCCAAGTAGACTTCTGTTAGCCAACGCATGCTTAGCAACAGTCGGAATCAATCACACCCATGGCGCTAAAATATATTTGTACTGGGTTAAATGCATTTAGGTCTTTAAAATTCCATGAAAATATGAGCTCAGTCTTCAGATAACGAGCAAATAGATGTCAGACCCTCGAAAATTTGCCGATAAACTTAAACGTTTACAGTCTCCGCTAAAATTCTTCGACCGCATTTAATGTCAGAGTCCACTTATATCCTTTTCGGATGCATTGCAGAATTTCGTCTGAAATATGGCCGCAGCTCAGAGTAAGTGTTGAAAAGTAGAAGATGATTTATGTCCTACGCTCTGCCATCAGCGACATTTACCGTTTAATTGCTAGACAGCACGCAGAAATGGGAAAAATTTGTCAAATATTCGAAAATATATGTTCATTGGTTTACTGTGCACCCAGAAACCCGGATGCGATTTTTTCGGTTTGCGATTACCGTACACCCCCATCCCCGAGGGAAATTCGAATTTTATTTACAACATAGCAAACACGAATGCGTTAAATATGATTGAATTACAATAGTTTATAGTTAATATCCGGTCGTAAGTGGATATTTGGACCGTTTGGCAAGCAAAACGTGTCGAATGGGAAAAGAAAATGGTTCTTATCAAAGATATAACATTCCAATTAATTTGCTATGATCCTCGATTTACACGTTATCAGCAGGATTTGAGTTTTGATTAAAGTTAAAAGGGGTTCATTATGATCGCTATCTCAGTCAACGACAGCAATCTGACAGTCACTTGCTCTGGGAGATGACAGCTAGCATTCAGTTATGTTTGACTAGTTAAAATTAAAAAAACAGGCTACCACTCCTAAAATGTTTGCATATCACTGTAGGATGTTAGCTGATTCACTTCAACTATTTTCAATCACCAAACTATACCCTTTACCTTGCTTTAGATACGTAGGAAATGCGAGAAACTTCTCTACAAAGCATACACAGTAAAAGTCTAAAACCTAAATCATACGCCTTCGGGCCCGTTAATTTTATTAATACACTTACTGAGCTAAAAATTATAAATGCTAATATCTAAGTATGCAGTCCTAACTCCCAGGCCTCCAAGTAGATCATCAAACCGCTCCTCCTCTTGCATGCCCACTCACTTTAATTTTTTTGTCCCCTACCACTCAGATTTTCCCTATCAGTAACATTCTCCCATCAAGCTATCAGAGCCAGTTTTCCCTATGGATCCTTCTATATATATATACATATCTATTTACAGTCGCAGTGCTGGATGCCATCAAAACAGGAGGATGTTTTTGAGGACGCGTTCCCTACTCATATTACAGAGTGTGCTTTTTACAGCAGTTGGAAACCTCACTTTCTAAAAATTCTGCTAGAAGTTATTCAGCTGAAAAATTACCATAGTCCTATTAGTCTTTTCCGAACCGGACACTTCTCTTAATTTCTCTTCCGCTCACGGTTATTATTAATAAGCATTTGTCCAAGGGAAAGGGAAAATGATCTAAATCACTTAATCCTTAAAGCATTTTTTAAGAAAACAGTGTTGTTGCCTGACCACAGGTAATTCGTTGTGCGGCTTCGATTAAAAACAAAAAATACGGCTGTTACCACGTTCACACAGCTCGATAATGCTGAAATCAATCCCACAGTTTGGCCTAGTGTTAATGAGGGTACTTATTTAAAAGGTGTATAATGATCTTCCCCTCAAGACTAACAGACTACAGTGTCTGGGTTCAAATAGGTCATTCAAAATTGCTTCGTTACTTCAGAGGAAGTAGATTGTGTAAGAGCGCAAGATATTTGATCTTGGTTGGGTTCACAAAAGCTAGACTTCTACGGTTATAATCTGCAAAGTAAAGTTGCTCGCCGGAACCTAGTTGTCTTGTTGCTGACTTTTCAAAGAGCTTCATCTGCTCCCTATTTTCAAACCGTTTAATGCCAAAATCATGCAGAAATAGTAAGTTAATAGCCGAGCTAGTCGGCGTTGAATTAGTCAATTTTTTTTATCTCGCTGACGCCTGAACCTAGGCAAACGTCTGTCAGAAGACTGAGACAGCGAAAAAAAATCGATCAATTTAAAGCCGACCAGCCCGGCTAGTCATTTAACATTTCTGGTTAATTTCTGGCATGAGACATTTTGGAAATGAAGAACTGATCAAGCTCCTCGAAAATTCAGTAAGAGGAAAAGTACATTCCAGTGAGCAACTTTGCCTTCTCAGACGCTGTTAGACTAATTGTATTTAGAATTGGATTTCCGGGCAATAGGTGAGAAGAAGTGGTAATCAAATATGCCTGTTTTTTTTCTGAAGGTTCAAGTAGTCAATCCCATCATCCGGAATCCGACACCACAGATTCATGCGTGCGAAGTTCAGCATCCTGTATGTGCACGTAGATACTGAGAGTGAATGTAGATTTTACGTTTCAATCGAGCAAAAGTATCTTATAAGTCTTGTGCAACATCCCATCCACCGGTTGTACGACAAAAATGACTCGACACTTATCAAGAAAATTTAGACAATAGCTTTACTGGAACTGTAGAACCTACTAGTTTCCCTCTATTTTTACTCTCTTTGTGTCTCCATGGATAGAAACTTTTTCGTGGAGCAGAAGAAGCCATCGCTGAAACATGACGTTTCGGATTCTCGTCCGAACCCATCATCAGAACAAAATCCGCCGTACCGGGAGGAATGTCTAGAGTCTTTCACCGAATCTGGTGCAATTTTGACAAAAGACTACGTGGGAGTAACTGAAAGACTACTTCGCACGAAGTCTGCCGAATATGCAGCATCAGTGAGAAGGAAGGACCGCGACTCATGCGATGGGACACGGCCATAATTTTAAGCCTGAGGCGGCCGAGCTTCTTGCAAGGACTAACAACCACATGAGCTGTGAACGGCCTGGATCTTTGTTCTCTGATCCGCAGTCGATTAACCAGCACAATGATCTCACTTCTCCATATTATGTGCTAAAACATTTTATAGGCTTTCTTTCTAAGGTTTCAGTGATTTCGAGGCATTCTGCCAAACTCTCATAACTTCAAGAATCCAGAATGGCGATGAACTCTCGAGAATTAACGATCGGACGTGGACTAACGGGCAATAATCGCGTCATGTATGACCGCTGGCGATGAATGCAGGATCTCCTGATTGAATAAGGCACGTAGCGGCATGCCACCAGCGTCCTATTGATACTGCACGCCTAACGCCCTCAGCATCCTCATCTGCGACTGTCCCCGATGATGAATGCAAGTGAGAATACGAAACTTCAGACTGATAAACGCCATGTTCCGGCGATTACACGTTCGTCTTCTGAAATGCCTCCTGGAGCTCTCTTATTCGCTGCTATCAGCGATGATCCGTGGATTTTACCCGGTCGCTTACCCTTTATTTTTGTCTCCTTCCCTTCGATTATATCTATTCTTATCAAATGCCTCATGGCACCTAGAGATCAGTTCTGTCATTTTCCCCTGACCCACTTCCAAGCGCACAGCATTGGAAGAAATGTTTTCCTCTATAATCTGCTCTCGTAATATAAGGCAGGTTTGTATTGGCAGATAGTATTACCAGCAGAGACAGGAGAGACTAGAGTGGCCATTTCTGGCTTAGTAGCTGACGTCAATCAGTCGTACTCAACCCAAAGTTGTACAACACTCAAGGTTCGATGTCGTGCCCTTCTTGATCAGAACCTGACACCCTAACCATTGAGTGCACAGTGCTGGAAGTATTTTTGTCGTGCATAATCGGCTGTTCTCATATAAGACGTATTTGTATTCTCATCGGCCTTGCTTCGCCCTACAATATTTCATTCATCGGTCACGTTCTGGCAAGCGCCAGACTAATTAGATGCAAGGAAATCAGGCGATAAAATACACACCAGACTCTCACGTCCGTTTGCAGCTCCCGGCTCCGAGGCGACACCAGTCTTGGGCGCAGCCTGTCGGTTTATGTCCTGATGCGGTGGAGGCTGGTACTGCTGACCCACAATGTTTGTGAGGGCGATGGCAGAGAAGTTGGCACCCTTGTCGACAGCAAAGGCTTTTGGGTCCAAAAACTGCGTATCCTGAGAGGGAGGGAGGAGGGGGCAGGAGATTATCAAGGGACTCAGTGGTAGTTAAGAATAGTGATTTAACACAGACTTATGAGGCCGCTACTAGCGTAAGCAGTTTCCCTGCAAATAGTGAATAGGCAACGGTACCAGGGTAAAGGGTAAAAGAGTACCAGTTTTAAAGGTCAAAACCTTCACAGGTATGCTAGAAGTAAAACTCGAAAATCGGAATCATACGCTTTCAGGCCAGTTTATTGTACCAACACACTTACCGAACTACACAGTCTAAACGCAGATGTCTAATTACGACTTCATTCCCCGAGACCTCCAGGCTGTTTCAGTTATAAAAGTTTGAAGTAATATCTACTCGTTAGTTCAAATGTAAAAATAAAACGGTCCTTATCAGCGATTTAAAATTTCGATTAGTCTACTATGATCCCCGATTTAAACCTTCTCAGTTTGATTCGGCTTTTGATTAAAGTTAAAAGGGGTTCATTAAGATCGCTCTCACAGTCAACGAAATAAATTTGACAGTCAACTGCTTCGGGAGTTGACAGCTATCATTCAGTTATCTTCGGCTAATCAAATTGAAAAAAAACTCCACTATTCCTCAAAATATGTTTATCAATCACTATATGATGCCAGCCACCTTACTTAAACTACTATACCCTTCATCTTGCTTTAAATACTAAAGGAAATGCGAGGCAGCAGCCTTGGAAACCAGAATCATATGCGTTCGCGTCAATTTATTTTACCACCACACTTGCTTAGGTACACAGTCGAAATGCTGATGTGTAAATATGCAGTCATGACTCCAAGGTTTCCAAGTTGTTCATAACAATTCTTCCTCTCTTGCGTGCTCATTCACTGTAATTCTTTTGTCCCTTGCCACTCAGTTTGCCCCCTATCAGTAACACACCCCGATCGGGCTATATTTCTCACATGTCCCTGGGGATTTTTGTATATATCAATTTACAGTCGCAGTGCTGGAAGCAATCAGAGGAGTAGACTGCTTTTGAGAAAGTGTTGCTTACCCACATTACAGAGCGTGCTTTCTACAGCATTGGAAAACCTTTCTAAAACGTCTGGTATAAGTTATTCAGCCGAAAATTTACTGTAATGCTGTTGCCGAGAATGCGGGTCGGAGGGAAATTTTTATCCTCCGAAACTGGCAATCCTCTTAATTACTGTTGACCGAAAAACGGTTGTGAGGGAGATGGCAGAGACCTCTGTCGACAGCAAAAGTTTCCGGATCAAAAAGCTGCATATACTGCGAGGAGAGGGAGCAGAGGAGTAGCCAGAAAGTAAGCGATATTTAATACTTGTGATTTCATATAGAGCTAAGAGGCCCTTGCTGGCATAGTTTCCCTCAAAAAGCCAATATGCAAGGTTAGTTAAACAAGACGTGATAAATTTACTTCAACAGTTCTTCGCATAGTTGGCAACAGAGTGATTTTTGATAACAGCTGACGGCCTGCGAGAACGGCCTCCGTGCCTGATAACGACGAACGTGTACATACTGCCTTAAGAATGAACCTCTAGACTCGAATAAATAATTTTCCCAAACAAGCAAATATTGCAGTAAACGTAATAATCAAAATTCCACAGCTCTAAAAAACGCACTACACCACTAAAGACAGCTTTCTATAAATCAAGTTCTCTGAAGAAAAGCTAACAGCTGCAGTAGCAGAGTCTAAAAGGAAAAAACATTGGTTTTAGAGCGTAAGGTTATTGCCACTCTAAATCCTGAACAGTAGGTTGCATATTTCCCATCCCATTCTGCCTTCTGATAATACTCTGCTTCTCAATAACAGATCACTTAATATTATTTTCTTTGCATATTTCTCTATCGACAGGCAAGCTTTTGTTGCGATACGATCCTCTTACTTATTCTGTGCCGCTAGCCTATATTTGTGCTCATTTTTGCATGCTTTAAGATAATTATTTCCATCCAATTTTCTCCTACTAGCCTGCACTAGTTCCATCGAGTCGGCACCTTCGCTGGGGGCCATTTCGGTGGGCGAAAGTCTAACGACGAGGCACATATCCTCCCATCTGATTAACCGTCCTATCTTACATCTAAATTTGCTCGTTTACCGCCAAGTTCGGCCTCACACCGTCGAAGGCACTGAAGTTCAAAACGAGGAATAAAAATTAGTTGAATGCTGGGATTTAATATGACGACGGCGTCTGCCACCTCATTTTGAAACGGACCTTAGGGTGGTTATTTCCTAGAAAACAGGAATTTACCTGAATGAAATCACATAGCATGCTGATTTTAACTAAGAATTAAGAGTTACAAAGCGGTTTGAAAGGATGAGACAGGAGTTTTTGAGTCCCCACATTTGAAAATCTCTCCTACTGGATTTGTGCGTGCATGCGAAAATTCAGCCAAATAAATGTCATGTTCCAGTGAGCAAACAACTTTCGTCTTTACATCCCAGTCGGATAAAAGCAAAATGAATTCAAATAGAGAAAACGACAACCTTAAAATCAAAACCTATTAGTGATCTGGACACTTTAACTTTCTCCTATCCATAGGAACAGGCCTGCAGAAACGTCTAACAGTGACAACTGTCTTACCGAAAGCAAATTTTATCATCCTCCGACTTTATTTAGACTAAATACCAAGGCTTTTTGTCACATGCTGTACCTCTTCGCCACTGCAATTGTTTTTTTACCAATACGTTAATTTTGAAGGTATTGTGATGCACAATTGGAATCGTAAGTTCATCCAGGTTATCGTAGGAAATAATGCGAATTTAGGAAAATAAAGCAACTGAGATTTTTGCTCACCAACTTTGGAGAATTCTGTTGGCAGTTAACTATTCCCCAGAACGACTGAATACGCAAAGCTGTACTAAATGAGATATCTTGAGGAAGGATAAGTTAAATCCAACAGCTCTTTACATAACACTATAAAGCCGAAGTAGGAAAGTTTTACTAATAGTAAACCGTACAGTAGCTGTTCTAACTCATGAAATATAAGGATTTTTACAAGAAAGTGTTTGTTACGTAAACGTGGCCCAAGCTGCGTCTTCCAAAGTCAAACAGCAAAAAACTAATGGTTGCACTTCATTGCGATTTATCAAGTAATTTTACGTTATTTAGAAAAACCAGCTTTTTAGGAAAACAGAAAATTCCCAAAAAGTAAAAATTAGGAAACTTACGTAAACTTAAGTTTTAAATATAGAGGAAGCCTGTTCATGCAAAAAACCAGAGTGAATAAAGCAACACCAATAGAATTACGTTGTAAAATAATCCTGTTGTTAAATTTTCATATTACGTGCAAAAAATGTATACATACTTTAAATAATTGTACACTTGGTATTTATTGTAATTTTATTATTTAAAATGTGTAAAACTCTTAACAAGTATCATTTTATTGTCTTCTCACTGCGTGTTCCCAAACTGACATCCATTTAATCCAGACACTGTTGACAATGCGAAGCAATGGAATCGCACACGCCATAAAACCATTCCATTTGGATTTGGGCGCATTCATGTTCAACGGCTTCTCTCTTTCTCAGTTATTTAAAATATAGTAAAAACTTAGTGGAAAAACAATAAAATGATACTTTTTAATACTTTTGCATGTTTTAAATAATAAAATTATAATAAACCTCAAAGTTACAATTGTATAAAATGCGTATACATTTTTTTGGGACATCCTGTATATTCCAACATGGTTGCTCGGGAATTGCTAGTTTTTTTCTCCAGTTTACACATTGCTTGAGTTACGCTGGACAAAGGTAACCAGATTTTTGCTCGATCTTACCGACTAGGAGTTCATAGGAGTTAGATATTTCGTAAGGTCATGTGCGGATATGCCGGTAAGTGACTACTAAAGCTAAATGGAATTGTCAGGTGCAATCGTAAACCTACCATTTTTTACTCTAAGATAAATTTCCTCCCGCCACATTTCTTTGGAAATATTTTGGGATTTCAAATATGATGAGGTTCAGATCGTTCAGCATTCACAATTATTAAGTTTTTCCGCAGCGTTTAATGGCGTACGAAATTCTTTGGATTTCAAAAAACGTTGGATCCGGCTCCATTCCGCCCCCTTTTGTCCCCAGTGTACTGAGCTGAACTGAACTCTTTTCTAGCAAACGGCATTTTGTGCCTGAAGTCAACTCAATGAACAAATAAAAACCCTCAATGTGTTAGATCCCCCACTCAAATGTTGGTCTCCCCATTTCATCAGATATACAATCTACTGTACTTAAATATACGTCTCCAGAAGAAGTTTTTGATTGTTTATGTTACCAGCCTAGATTGTATCGCGCTTCGCGGATGGATAACACCCAACATAAGTCGTGAATGTACAAAATTGTAATAAATTTAGCTGAAAACTTTATCTGTTAATGTATGTAATGGCCGGTTTGGACTGATTATCAAAGTAATAGTTGCAAACTGACTCGAAAATGGATTACAACGTGTACTATTTCTGTCTTTCATCGTCTTATCCGAGAAGTGCATTCAGTAACTCCGTGATGCTTTTATGCTTTTGGCTCAGTCCTTAAATGTTTCGCTTTTTTAAACACCAAAGTCAATTTCTTTATATTTGGTTAACAAATTCAATGATTACAACTGTTAATCGAAGAAATATAGCTGAACTTCGGTGAAAAACTTAAATGGCCTAGAAACTCAAGTGGTATAGGTAGTGAATTACGCTCAGTGTTATTGGTATCGCCCTTTTCCGGAAGCCTTCATAAATGGGCAACGTGACCAGAATAAAGGACGTTTTAGGCCTGTTCAAAAGCCCATATTCTTGTTACTTTACTGTGGATGGTGAAGCCTTCCTTCCTGCTTTTTTTACGCAGTCAAAAAATGTCCAGGAAGGTTATCAGTTAATGGCTTCTAACCAGAAAATTTTTAAAATACACGGTCTAGTTGCCTCATCAGCGTTCAAGTAATCACGCCTCAGTAAATTTTGATACATAAGTTGCAGTAATTTGCAAGTGAACTTCAAAGGCTTGCGTTGTTGCACTTTTGCTTATATGTGAACTTTTACTAGATGTAGGAAGTTCTTGACTTGTACTGCCTGTAGTAAAACGAATGTGCTAACTTCACGAAGGTTAATAGGACTGGGGCGTTCTGAGACAGTTCTGTTGAAAATTCGATATTTCTATTTTGTGATCATCGTTAAAGAAGAAAAATAAAGACGACGAAACAGTGCTTTTACATTAGCCAGTACTTTTTTGAGAAAATAGATTTACGTACCCAGTCCGTAAAGATGTAACTGTAATACTGATTTGTCATGTTGTACTCGGCGATCTGAAAAAAGTGTGAAACAGGATTAAGTTGTCGTTACTAGAAAACGGCAGAGAGGGATCAAAGGAAAGCGTTGCGGAAGACGTAAAACGCCTCTAGGACAGGTTTTAGCCAGAAAACTGAAAACCTTTTCTAACTGAGTCTTGCATTTCTGTATGTCTATTCTAACTGCTGGCTTATACTGAAATACTGAGTGATTTGCCTGTACGTTGGAGGACTTGCCTTTCCTTCTACAGCATGATACACTGCAAACAATTTATTATTATGAACAAACAAACTTTTTGAAAGATTCATACTCCAAGAATAATAAAGCATTTGATTAAGAAATTGCATACTTTGCCAGTTAACTGATTCAATACTAAAACGTTTAATTAGACAAATGTCTACGCACCAAGGGAAGTGTATTTAACAACCCTGGGAGCACTTGGGAACAAATCGTTCCGTTTTTGTAAAACCGGTAAATCCAAAGGGAAAAATAAGCGTCAGTTGTTAAAACATGCTAATTTCGATATCCAACACCGTGATATTAGACTTAGCTGGATGTAAGAATAGGATAAGCTGGGGATAATGCTTCCAGCTATACCGATTTTAAAAAAAATAGCCGATGCATATGGAGGTAAATAACAGGAAACATATGCTTCTGCATCACGCCGTTTGCTAAATTTGCTATTGTACAAGTCGCAGTGCGTCGATTTTGAGATTATAGGAAACTTGGTAGTGGCAGAGTTCACGCAGGATATGTAAGGGAAGCCTTTTCATATTATAAGAGCGGTAATGTGGCAAGAAATAGTGTGTGAAGATCGGTGGGGCATGTCAACAAAATAAGAAGTATTTCGAGTAAATGCACAGCCATCTCATGGTCTGCCTTCTAGGTGCAGTACAAGGAACAAGTGTAGATGTCTTAGACGGTTCAGGTAACAGCAAACTCAGCTTCTTCGTATATGAATTAAAAGGGTGGGAATAGTGTTTTTTTTTTCTTAATACTAAAAGTGACCGAACACTGATCTTTTGGAAATCCACCTACCCTGAGGCGTAGGAGAACGAAAATTTGACCATGTGAAGGATTTTCAAACAGAGCAAAGTAAAAAGATATTAAACTTCAAGAGGTGAATGGCACTAACGCAATATGGTTGGAATTGTGTGCTCTGTTTCACGTGAAGGTACATCAAGAAAAGAGATTGTGAAACGTTTAGCCCGCGTAGGCTTATTCATCGATCGTATCTACCATTCGAGGAGAAGTAGCCTGACTGATTCTCTCGTTTTATATAAAGTAGGCAGGGTATGCCCTACAGTCAGATTAACTGATTAGGTTTACTTAAAGCTGACAATAAATCCGTCAGAGAGTAACCTGAAAAGGGGTTTTTGGCTAGACTTTAATACATTATCTAACGACTTACGCATTGCAGAACAAAAATTGTTTGTGTACTTTTTAGCATGAGTTACACAAAACTTGTTATCATGGAATAGCTACCACTGGCCTTTGCTCTCTGTATGATTTCCAGCGTTATTAACTTTTTATATCTTTTACAAAACGTGTGAACCTTGATATCCGTGTCAAAATTTCACCCAAATTATAGTACTGTCATGTGAATCACGAATTTGGTTATTCCAGTGAGGCCCAGACAGAATTTGGCATTCCTGTTTTGAAACAAAAGAAAGTGCTCGGTTGTTTTAAATTATTTTTTGAAAGTAGCACGATGTTTTTCCTCCCTCAGTGGTATTAGAAACTCATTTTTCACACGCATTAATTTAGGTGACTTTCATATAACCTGGCAACTATCTAAGGCATCTGCAGTCCAATTCAAAGACAGTAGATCACGGCTGGGAAGAAAAAGAAATTTACATTGCTGCACTTTGTAAGAAAGGCATTTGCGACAGCGGGTACATCCTTTGGAATAACAGACAAGATCCGTGACTGGTTCACTCGGATCCTGGGCATAATTAAAAGAAACTAAAAGACTCGAACTTGCTAAAGAAATTGGCATCATTGGAAGGAACTACCCAAAGATAAAAAGGCACTAAACATAAACTTAAATTTTGGGCAATTGGGATCGAACTTTTTTGTATAGCATGCGTTTACGCAGTCCTTACTATAGTCCGCTGATTCTTCTCAAACAAACAGGCTAACAAGGACTAGATTTCTAAAGGATTCACGTCAAGAAACCAGAACTGCCTGCGTTGAAGGGATTTTGGGTCCAGCAGAATGCTAACGACTGCCGATCATCATGCTAACATTTAATTTTTTCACTCGGAAATTCGGGAACAGCAATAAACGAAAAAAATTCTTTGGTCAAATAAGGGATGAGAACTTCTATTCGATTGAACTGACTTGAAGCAAACCAAAAAGTCTAATTAAGTGATGGAATTTGTGGGGGTAATCTGTAGGCAGCTAAACTTTTATGACCCCCAGGCCACCAGGTTATTGTTGTTACCGACGCAGACTTTATGCGTCAACAAACATGCTATACATTTTGATAGATAGCAAAGGCTTAGAAAGATAAAATACAATCATCTACAAAGAAGTAAAACGTAAAGTGTTCAAGCGCCTACTCTCGACTTACCAGATCAAGAAAATCGGGTATTTCTGACTGCGGAATGTCAACCACAAAACGAAACTGTGACATCGTTGTCCTGAAGTACTTGATGACGTATTTGTGTTCCATATCATTGGTGTCCCACTTGCGCATCATGACCTCGCCCTTGAAGTAAGTCAGCAAACTTTCAAATTTTTCGAGTCCTTAAGGAGAAAACTTATTCAATAATTCATTTTCTGAACGGTTGCAATTTATTTTAGTGTAACAGTAGTAGATTGACACACCAACAAGGGGCTTTAAAACGAAATAATAATGCAAGTAGAAATATTAAGTGACGGTCGAAGAAGTGGAATTCGCTGAGCACGCCTAGCTTTCCATTAAGTTAAACGATAAAACAACCTTAAAATCTGAAATAAGAATGGTGTGCTCACTTGCGTTTCTGAACGTTTGTGATTACTGCTTCAACCCAATTGCAATTGCGGAAATAGAGGTTAAAGATGACAGAGCTGTTCTCTGCTATTGGATGTGAGTTTAGTTATCCAAAGTACTAAGAGAAGTGAAACGTCAGGGTTACCGGCTTCAAGCATTGTGTGATTATGAATTTCGGGCTGTAGGGACTTCTCTTTGGCCACTGATTTGCAGAGTTAAAACACGCATAGTTATATGAGTAACAAAGCCAGGAGTAAGATTTGATAAGGAAACTTTATCTGATCAAAAAAACCTTGCAGCCTAAAGACAGGGGAGGAATAAGTGAAACAAAATCGTACGATAGTTTGACTCTTTAAGCCCTTTTGATATAACGAATCCCTTATCGAAGAAAATGAGGCTCCATTAAATTCCATAAGATTTAAGATTCAAGTAGCCAAAGTTCCTGCGGCAAAACTAGCGCATGAGCTGCCTGCTGTTCCAATAAACAGCCCACATCTTCCGACTGGAGTTTCTTGTGTAGTCGGTTGCACTAGAGGCATCAGGAGCGTTTTATTGGAGTCTGGACCGACAAGTAACAGTAACAATTCCTCTCTCCATTTCCAGTCGTTGACAGCGTTTTCCTCATAACTTGGTTCTCCCTCCCTACCTCCCAATCAAGTCTTATTTACCTGATTTTCAGTATGCTCCATTCGCGTTTATCGGCTTTCACTTCATT